ATGCGATCACGTTAATTTTATATGATTTTTCAAATGAATTTCATCGGCCTCATAATATTCATGTGGTTTTGTGGTGGGATTGGCAGGAAACCTATGTAAAATTCACGTGGATATCTTCCATTAGATATGTGATAAATTTTTGAATGTACCATAGACTATTGCTCGAACTTTTCTTCGTACACGGCCCATCATCTTTTGCACGAGCCCTGTTCCCACTTGTTTGGCTGCCAAATTCCATTTCCGCTTGAAATTCTTCAATTCAATTGCAGTTCCATCCTGTTTTCCTTGAGTATGTGCTTCAAAATTGACCAGTATTCCTCAATTGGCCTTAGTTCCGGAGAATTGGCCGGATTTATCTCCTTGGGAACCACTGTGACGCTATTTTCTCAGTATCACTGTTTGGTGGAATTTGAGTAGTCAACCGAGGTATAAAATTCCTGCCCAGAAATTTGATCAAAAACTGCCAGGGCGGATAGACCGGGATTTTCCATTCGCGCGTGCAGGATCAAATCGGTGAAGCCATGATGTTAACAAATTAACTCATCGTGACAACCAATGGCCACTGTGATTCTAACACTCTTAGGTTGATTCAGGAAAATTTTGAAAAAAATACTCATCAACTGTCTTAAAAGCAGCGTTTTTAATGTGTTCGGATTTTATCGTGTTCAACCATTACCAAAGAAGACCATGTAAAACTCATTTCCAGAACTACTCAAAATTGAACCTAAATGAAAAATAGTTGCACAGTGTGGTAGATAGAGTTGGTATAGAATAATAATCATGGTAAATAATTAGTTACCATTATTTACCATGATTATTATTCTATACCAACTCTATCTACCACAAAATATAAGTTGATGATGTTGTTGAGGTTGATAGGGGTGGTAAAATTTGTATCTGTATTCCAAAGAGTAGAGAAGGGGAAGAATTTGGTAGATAGAGTTGGTATAGAATAATTAGTTACCATTATTTACCATGATTATTATTCTATACCAACTCTATCTACCACACACAGTAATTGGTAAAGTCTATTGTCATGAAATACTTGTTCTGAAAAAACAACCTTCATATCACTACAGCCACTAGACAGTTGATTCACCTCTTGACAACCAACTGATTTAGTTTGAAGAACAGAACAGCACGGTAAACTTAGTCAAAAATATAAATCTCAGACAGGGTTGCTTCCACTCACTATAATCCACGCACAGTTCGAAAAAGTAGGGTAAATTTCTGTTCAATATGATGCACATAAATGGAGCGTCACATATCATATACGTTTACATTATATATCATGCAAAGTTCTGACATATTTCATGCAATGTGGCAAATATTGTATACAAAAGCCCATCTTTGTAAACAACATTGTTTGCAAGTTGCTCGGTTGCGTGAAATGAAATGTTTACATCAAAATTAAAATTCAGAATTTTTATCTGTGGCATTCACCAAAACTATTTTCGGAATCATTAGATGTTATAATTTCGCTTTCAGAGCGTCACAATGAGTGATTTTATGAGTGAGTGAGCGCTCACGAAACGTAAAATCGCTTATTGTGACGCTCTGAAAGCAATAGTGAAGATATGATAACAGACAAGCAAACATAACACTCTTAAATTGTTCATCGAAACTGCTTTGAATGGTAAATTTAAATGTTTCTTAGATGTTAGTACCGCCACTTGTGCGCGCATAATCAATTCCCTTGCGTTTGACGATTACACACTACAGTCATCTGTTGTTTTTTTATAATGAGAAATGATCAATGTGTTGTGTCTGTTTGTCTGTGTTATAATATTGAGGTAACGTTAGGATAAAATCAAAACATTATCACTTTCAGAAATACTTCACATCGCAGCCGATGAATCATTCTGACGGCCATATGAGTACTCAAGTATGCAAGAAAATGTGTTTTCGTTGAAGGCAGCATTAGATATTTTAGCAGACACCGACAGATGGTGGACATGATCCTGTGATGGTCCCGGGCAAAGGTGTTATATCCTAGACAAATGATATGTTCCAAGTTCGCTGTTGTCGTCGTTGTAGTCGCCGTTGGCAGTACCATTCGTATATTTAAAATTAACCATCAGCGCAGAAACTATATGAATAACCGTGTAACTCTGTTGTTCATTACATTCCAAGTGGAAACATCTTCTTGCTCCCGTGGATCACACGTAAGTTTCTCTGCTTATGGGTCCACCTTCCGTTTTTGCCTCTTCATACAATGGTAAATTGAATACAACCAGATATCTTACTTGATCAAGTTATACGAAGTGGACAGTCCACTATGGCTAATGGCTGCACCCTGCAACAATGAGTGATATCCTTTGCATATACATACATACATACATACATACATACATACATACATACATACATACATACATACATACATACATACATACATACATACATACATACATACATACATACATACATACATACGTATATACATACATACAATAAGACCACTGAAAAATGCATGGTTTTCGTAGACCATTAAAAAAGATTTCCAAAAAGGGAGCTGCAAAATCGGGTCATTACTCTACTCTTTAGAATTCTTTTGGAATTATCCTCAACATAGCAATCGAGGTCTTCTCAAGATTTTCCTGGATTTCTCCTGAGAACATTTGTAAAGTTCTTTCCATTAATTTGAATTTCAATTCTTATTATGATTATTTTAGCATTATTTCGTATTCATTTGAATTTCGCTTAACCATTCCTATTCAATTTTACTTCGCATTTCCTAGTGTTTGGGATTTTTCGGCGTTATTTTGAAAATCTTGTCAGAAATACTATGTCGACCAGGAATCAGTAGCATCTCAGAGCTACCTTGGAAGCTATCCGTAGATTGTTTTGAATGCCCTTCTCATAACTAGATTTGAATAATCTTCCAAATTTATTTAGATTTATCCCAAGAATTCCTTTTAGAGAACATCCATAAATGACCAGTTTTAGATCCCCCTTCCACTCATATCGTATTTTTCTATAACTAAAACAAGGCACAGCTTCCGATACCCTTCCCCCTCTCCCTCTAATACCACGTCATTTAGGCATGTTCTTTTATGTGTGTGTGTGTCTAAAAGTTCTTTAGAAATACTGATAGAAATACTTTTTTACAAAGCCTCAAATTCAAGTCTTTCTGCAAGTATATGAACCTTGAAAAATTCTTAATGATTTTTATTTTTGCTCTCACCCCAGCAGGCCTGGGTTCAATCCCAGACAGCGCCACCGGAATGTTCTGAGGCATAACATCTCTGATCACGACTTCCTTCGGAAGTGAAGTAAAGCCGTTGGTTCCCGCTTGATGAAATGATGGGTCGATATGTAGGGCCCAGGTGTGGGAACTGCCTTCTTGGCATCGGTAGCATTGGTGCTCAGCACGGAAAACAAGATCGACAGAAAACAAATCAAGGAAAAAAAATTCAAACCACGTATTCGTTTCAAAATTTTGAAATTTTTTCCTACTTTAGATTCATTTTTATTCCCAAGGTCCTGAAACTCTTTCAAGCTCCTAAGATTTTAGAATATGGACAAATCAAACCTCAGAATTTTAATTGTTTTTTGAGTCCAACAGTCTTGAAGATTACTCCAATATAACATCAATATAACTTCATGATCTTAACGGCGCCGGTGGTGTAGTGGTAAGCGTGATTACCTCTCACCCCAGCAGGCCTGGGTTCAATCCCAGTCGGCGCCGCCGGGATGTTCTGAGGCATAACATCTCTGATCACGCCTTCCTTCGGATGGGAAGTAAAGCCGTTGGTCCCCGGTTCATGAGTTGATGGGTCGATAGGTAGGGTCCAGGTGTGGGAGCTGCCTTCCTGGCACGTCGGTAGCATTGGTGCTCAGCACGGAAAACAAGATCGACGGGAAAAACAAACCAAAGGAAAAAAAAAAAAAAAACTTCATGATCTTAGCCGCAATCCCATTAACTGTCTACATAGTTCATGGACAACCATGTCATCATTATTCAGTAGCTTGTAATATTTACAAACTCCCAAAAAAAAGGTATTCGCCTCTTCCTGCCACCACACCCCACTCCTAAGTAAAAAAGTGGCAGTGAAGACATTTGAAGATACTTTTTCAAAAATGTTCTGGCATCCCTGGATACATGTTACGATATTTTTACTCGTTACTACCTTCGTTTAGGCACTAAAAGAAGCTTCATAAGAAGATTTCAAAGGAAGCTTCTTAAGAAGATTCTAAAATAAGATTCTTAAGAAGATTCTAAAAGAAGCTATTTCTATACGCTTGCCCGTCGTAAATCTGAGTAGCAACGCAGGAAAAGCGCATATTTCGTAGGTCAAAGGAGCATTACATCGTTTAATTATTACGTCTATGCAAACGCTGCTAAAATAAACACTTAGAACCTTTGAATGATGTTTTTAATCGGATATCTCATGGGTTATTAACGGGTGTTCAATAAAAAATGAGAATAATTCCAGTGCCGTCCAGCGCTCCTGTGAGAGTATCGCGACTAAGTTGCGTCGTATGGCTGACCAGTGTCGCTTCTCCAATATTCATTGACGTTTTTTGAAGAATAAACATTATGTTTTTAATAACAAAAATACTGAATTCATTGTAAAAACAAAATTTTTTTACTAACAATGGCTGAAAAAATTATCATTTTTTATTGAACATCCGTTATTGCGAAATTCGCAATGTAAAACGCGTAAACGAATAAACTCATGAATGAGATTTAAGTTTTTGAGTTTATCCGAACACTGATTACTCTTATGAGCACTTTGTCAAGCATTTTTGGAGTTATTTTCTACGATTTCACAAAACTAGACCAACAAACTACTTTATTTATGAATGTCACACATTTTGGCTACTTTTCTCGTGATTCAACAAAAAAATCTCAAAATACTTTCGAATTAAAAAATCACTCGATAAACGTCATTTTGAACTACTCGAATAAAGTTGTTCGTTTCATAACAAATCAATTGACTGACACCCTGGATTATCCCAATAAACAAAATCTATTTTCTTTATTTTCATTCCAGACGACATCTGGCGAACCGATCTGGACTTTGTGGTAACTCACAACGATCGACTGGTGGTGCTATCCTTTATGACCGCTTCCTATCCGAACACCACCTCGAAGTCATTCACAAATGGCGGTGAACTTGGCCATAAGCTTTACAAAAACGGTGATTTCGGCGAAAACAATGACATGGTGGAAAAAATTTCCGCCTACGACGACAACGACGACTCAGGAGAGCACGATTCCGATGAAGATGACGACCCATTCCGTACCCACGCAGCAATGGAAATGGAAAAGATCGAACACTCGTCCATTTCCATCTCGACCATGGAGAATTTCAACGTATTCGATCATCCTACCACCATACATACACTACCTCCGATGCGGAATTTGCTAACAACCACTACAGCTCCAAGTACCACAACAATAACCGTTACGACTACCCAACCACCACCCACAACTAGGCCAACTTCTTTGAAAAAGAATGATCGAGGCAAGAATCATAGCCACAACCGAAAGCACTCAAATAAATCACATACTGGAAAGAAGGATAAGGCGCACCACCAGAACCATCATCACTTGGAAGATGTTGACACCCGACTGGAGTTGAAACCTCAGAAGGAGTTTGACTTTGAAGAGTTTGACGAACATGAAATCGCTACTCTCTTTGAGGTCAATCACAGCCGGAAGATACAACCGAGTGGAAAGAGAACTACCTTAGCCACTACGGTAGCTACAACCAGTGGATACACGTCCACCGTTTCAACCAAACCGTCCCCGAAAACAGCTACGAAGAAAACACCCACCAAAGACAGCAATACACATATCATTAAACCAGTCAAGCTGCCGGACAATATCATCCCATCGACGCCGGTCACAACTAATTCGAAGATAATTGAGATTAAGCCTAGTACCACGGGTGCAACCTCCCGGAGTACGACGAAGAAGATCAAAAGGTTCTCTTCCGATAACTACAGTAGTGAAAGCTTGGAAAGTTTGGAGAACATACCGAGTGTGGATGAAGATGAATTTATCATCAAGGATGAAAATGGAATGGAGATAAGGCCAGCATTCTTGATCGGGACCGTGCCAGGAAATTTATCGACAAAAACCGTTGAGTTGACTGGGTTCGCCGGGCTCCTGCAGGTGTTCTTTGGAGTGGATCAACATTTCAACGTAAAGCGTTGGACATCTACTCCCAGCATGGAGTTCATAAACCTAGCGATCGCCTTGATGGCATGGGCTGTTCGCTACCCATCGGTCTTCTGGCACACCTCGAAGACATTTGCGTTCGTCTTCAGCATGCAGATGATTGCTAATGGGATAGATATTCTGCTGAGTTTTGCTGGGGCTAGTGTACTGTACAAATTGCAAACCTTGGGACAGGCGCTACCTATGCAAGCTCCGACGTTGATTCTGAATGGAACGGTTACGATCGCCTTGACAATCTTGGCAGTTATCCTAACGATTGCCTCATCGATGGTGCTGTATCTGTATGGGCACGGAAAGCTTGCCATTAAAATACGTGACCGAAGACTGATCACGGCCAAGCAAAGTACCGACGTATGGGCTTACTTTGCCCACTGTTCGTCATTGTGCTTCGTGCTGGCTCTCGCCGTAGTGAAAGCCCCTCTGCTTCACGATCTCAGTGCAGCCTACCGGGGAAGTCTGGACGGAGCCGTGCTGGCGGCAGGTATGTTTTTTTTTTTCATGCATATAAATGTGGGATTAAACGTTGATTTCATTCACAGCTCTGGGGTCCGTGATTCACCTATTCCTGTGGATAGTGCTGTGGTTAGGTCTAACGGCAAAGCGACGTTGGAATTTTAAGCTTCCACCTCTGGAAATGGTCGGTGCACGCAATGGAGCTTCGCAGCCATTACTGCGAGGTGGCACCGGAGGTTCGCTCCTGCGATCATCAAGTGGTAAAGGATCCTCCGGGGATGGGACCGGGGCCACCAGTAGCGAAGAGGAAACTATCTATTGGCCGAAGATTGCTCCCAATTCACCCAAGTTGAAAGTAACCTTCAACGAAGTAACCAGTACGTCGTCCGAACATGCCCATGGCGAACATGACGGCAAGCGGTAAAACAGTCAATCAAAGTTGTTGTTCCAAAGCGTTGTTTGTGTGTGCTATAGTAATCTATTGCTTGATGTTTTGTTTTGGGTTTCGATTTTGCATTGATTGCCTGTTTTTTTTTTTATAACCTTGAATTTTTGTGTGGTGAAAGCTTGGGCGAGAATTGGCAGGGCCTCGCTTTGCGCCCAAAATGGTGGCTCGCCGGGCTTTCAAACACGTGTTAATTTCTGCATGCGCTTTTCCTTTTGTTCCTGTAAGAGTCTAACCCCGTGATCCTACTGTTACCCTGCAGCCATCCGTCCAGTGGAACCACGATACGTTTGTCCAGTATTACGGGGGAAACTGATGACGGTGACTACGCCACATTAAGAGGGCCTCCCGGTGATCTGTTGCATTTGAGTACGTTCGAAGATCATCCGCCACCTCCTGAGGCACTGCTTGTCAACACCAACGTACACAACGACCATGCGGATGATACCTCCGAAGAGGGAAAACTGCTTGCCTGTGTTCGAGATGATAGCGTAACGTATGCGTCCACTCGAGATCTGGAACCGCCCATCACACGAACCATGTCTCGTGAAACATTCATAAGATCCCCGGAGCAGCTAAGTAGTCCTCTAGCACCAGTCACTGTTACCGTACACAATCATGAAAACATGGCAAGTAGATCGAATACTGAATCATCCGAAAGCCCGACTAATATTACAATTCTTCAATCCAGGCACCCGGTTCAACGCCACGCTGCTTACGCCGTGCTGACTCCGGCATGCCAACTGAAGCTTTAACGCCCCGATCCGATACCACATCGACGGAAAGCTCAACCTCACCACCGGACTGTAGAGACGCTCCGTCGGAAACCTCCAGCGGAGTACACTCCGGTGAGGAACGCGACGAAGTAGTCATTCGCCCTCGTTCCGGACCCTACAAGTCAATCATCAAGCCACCTCCTCCAGCGATCCAGGAGGAACCATTTGGTCGATCTACAAACATGAAAATGTCCAGCTTCAACAAGGACGGTTCCAGTGCTACCCTGCCTCTTACCCGAGGCTCAGCAGATGGCCACCGCGATTATCCTCAGTGCAGCACTATGCCACTCCCTGCTGGTTACCATCAACAGCAGCACCACTACCACTCGCAGTCTTCGTTTACTTCGCCGAACTCTTCCTCTCGGCAACAGCTGCTACAGCAGCATACGACACTCCCGAACGGTGTCCGCTATCAGTCGAATCAGTTCCTCAAACGAATGCCCTACATCAAAACGGCTGAGTCTCCCTATGGGCACCTGGGTATGGGTAGTGGTCACCATACGTTCTCCAAACTTCTCCACGATCCCCTGGGAATGCCAAACAGCTCACCCCCGACGCACTCCCAATCCAGTCACAGCACCTTTGCAACGGTTACCACTATACCGGAAGATCGGGACTCGGCCAACTATTCTATGATTTCAGATCAGGATCGGGAAATGTACATAACTGCAGGCCAGATGCAACTGCAAAACTAGGTCCGTTAGTGAAACCGAAAGACATGCAAATCAAAACGGTCCACCGGGACCGGGGAATAAAAGTATTTTAGCACGGTACGCTATTCATTGTAATTATGAATCATACATACAACATATTAAGCATATAAGTGTAGAAAAATTACCATTCGATGCGCCTTCTTTCAAATTAGTTTTTACATTTGATCTAGTTTTAACGAGGAACGTGGAATCGTGGATGAACAAAAGTCGCACAACTAATTTTAGAGAACCTACGATCGCTTTTTAGTTTCAATTGATTAGGTTTGTACAGTGACGATCTCAATATTGTAAATATTTGAATTCTTGAGATATTTTAAGCATTATCAGAGGCAATTGAATCGCTTACAATAGGAAGAAGGATCAATTTCAACTCCAACAGCAGCATATATACATCTCAGATGGTAGAGGAAGACTATTATATCATCACACTATGCATCCGGAAAAAAATATGCATCCGCAGCTTTAATCGAGGCTTCTAAACGTAGGTATGCTTACAAAGGCAAAAGACAAGCTCATAGGCGGTGTAACTAATTGGAGTGCCCGGGTTGATAAGTTGTTTAAAACATCGGTTTCTTATGTTTGGACAAACCCCAAAAAACTTTTAAAAGAAGAAACTGAACTGTTCGATCGGTCCTTCACTACTCATAATCGCATATCAGTCCCATATTGATAGGCAAAAGCTGTGGTCCTGATTGCATTTCAGCGGATATTATCAAAAATAACTCTGTTACTTTTTCGCGAATATTGGCGGAAGCCTTCAATAAAATGCTGGAAACAGGTTATTATCCAGATTGTTTGAAAGTTGCTAGGGTAGTTCCTATTTTTAAATCCGGGGACTCAAATGATCCATGCAATTATCGTCCAATTTCAACGTTATCAAGTTTTAATAAAATTTTGGAAAAATTACTTCTCAATAGATTCGTGCCTTTTCTAAATAAACATGAAGTATTATATAGCTTACAATATGGTTTTCGGCAAGGGAGTAGTACATCTACTGCAACTGCTGAATTGTTGGATGATGTTATCAACGGTATTGATTCAAAGAAAATAGTTGGAGCTCTCTTCTTAGATTTGCGTAAAGCATTTGATACGCTAAACCACTCCATTCTCTTGGAAAAACTTGAAAGGTATGGAATCAGAGGAGTTGCAAACGATCTGATACGTGACTATTTGTCAGGAAGGAAACAGTATGTTTCTATAGGTACATCTAAAAGTTCTTTAAAGCCGATTGGAGTGGGCGTGCCTCAAGGGAGTAATATAGGCCCATTACTGTTTCTTTTGTACGTAAATGATTTGTCCAGACTTCAATTGAAAGGGGTTCCACGCTTATTTGCAGACGATACTGCTCTTTTCTATCCACAAACTGATGTAGAGCTTATAGTTCGTGATATGAATCAAGATTTACAGGCGTTATCAAAATACTTCGCAGCAAACCTGCTTTCCCTGAATGCTTCAAAAACTAAATGTATGTTTTTTCGTTCCCCTAGGAAGTCTGTACCACAGCATGGCAACGTAACATTGAACTTATGTACAATCGAAGAAGTCAGATCATTTAAATATTTAGGTTTGATCTTGGACACAACACTTTGTTGGGTTGACCACATAAAATATGTTGAGAAGAAAGTTTCATCGCTTTGTGGAATAATGCGCAGAGTAAGCTATTTTGTATCTCGCAGTACTCTCTTAAAGTTTTATTTTGCTCATATTCATTCCTGCCTAAATTATCTTATTATAGCCTGGGGTCGGGCATGTAAATCTTATCTAAGAAAACTACAAACACTTCAAAATAGATGCTTGAAAACTATATTCAAAAAACCAGTTTTGTTCCCTTCGTTGCAGCTTTATTCCGACAGCTCTCATAATATTCTTCCGATTAATGGCCTTTGCGAATTACAAACTATTATTTTTGTTTACGACACCCTACATAACGATAATTTTCATCATTCTATTCAATTACCTCTTGCTGCTCATAGTTACCCTACTAGAAATGCTAACAATTTACAACTGTCAAGAGCTCACACAATGTTTGGTCAGAAAAGGATTTCGATTATAGGTCCAAAGATATACAACCGTTTGCCTCTAGAGTTAAAACAAATTAACAACCGCGGTGTTTTTAGAATCAATTTAAAAAAATATTTAAAAGATAATCTACACGACATTCTTGGATGAGTTCATCTTGTATTACCTACCAGAAGCAATAGTTGTGCCTCGTTTAAAATAATTGTACATTTTTGAATTAATACTTTGTATACAAGTGGGTCCCTTTAAAGGAAATTCGTTTCCAACCTCATTTTTTTATTAATATTTTTTCTATATATATTTTTTTTCTCAGCTCATTATTAGCTTCATTAGTTCCTTAGTTTGCTGCACAGACTGAGCTGAGAGAGTTGCGTCCACTACCAGGGGGCTCACGTGAGCTCTTTGGTGTGGGGGATAGTGGTGGGTCAAAAAAAAAAAAAAAAAAAATCAAGCAAATATGTGACTGATATGCGATTAAGCACTGAGGCAAATAGACTTAAGAATTTCATAAGACTCGACTTATGAACGACAAAGATGAATTTCATAAGCGCGACTTATAAAAGATTTTCGTCTAACATAACGCAGCTCTTATACGCCTTTAGCCTTTCCATTTTCTTAAGCGTTGCAAGACGAGTGGTCAACACACGAGCTCCGTAATCTCAACGTCCAGGGTTCGGTTCTAGTCTGCTTCGATTTACTATTTTTTTGTCAACATTATTTTTCATAAGGCAAATCAATGAAATTCATACTGATTAATTGTGGCTAAAATTCATAAGTGTTTCTTATGGAATTTTTACGTTCTTTTTCCTGCATGTGGGCAGTTCACCTCTTCTTCTTCTTAATTTATTTATTTATTGTCGTTCCGCAATCTAGTGCCAATCAACGACGGACATCGGATTGTCATCCATCGACGACAATCCATTGTACAGGAAGGCAGCTGTACCCATCAATACACATGGACTGGGTTGAACCTAGACCCATTTGGGGTAAGAAGCAGTTCCACAGTTCCACTCTTTCACCTCGCATCTATTTTCATATTGCCTATTTGGCTTTACAATATCGACCGATAACAAAATGAATTAACTACTTTCTGTGGGATTCCTCCATCTTTACCCGTTTCTTTTCCGTTCAACCTTCGTCGCTTTTTGGTTGAAACCAATTTAAGGTGATACGATCCAGAAGCCCGGGCTCTAGTGCTACTTAGCATTTTCCAGGGGTCAATTATCTGCTACTTGAAAACACACAATAACAAAACTGCTTCCCAATGTTTGCTGCGACGCAACAAATATGGTGATGCAAATTTAATGGCTGAAATCGCAATAATTGCAATCGTACCCAAGATTAACTCCCTAGAAAACTCGAAGTGGCAGTGCAAAATTTGTGGACGCTGGATCATATCACCTTAAGCCTCACCACAATTTGCTTTGATTTATTTTTAAATAACTAATGTTCCACCCATTTGTTTAATATCAGTGATAAGTGAGGAATGACAAGTTAGTGAGAGGAGTAAGCCAAGATATATCATATTAATTTTCTTTTTTAAATTTTTCTGAAATTTCACTTATCCACTTTATATCACTGCATTAATCTCAATATTTATTCCTGAAGCATATACAGCCGACATTCGCTGATTGGGCTACCACCTCGGCCCAACTAACGAATTCGATTCGTTAGTTGTGTCAACTGACAGAAGGCTAAACTTTTTTGGGGGGTATGCGCATCCTTGGTTGTGGTTAAGACGATATAACAAAAAACAATACGGATTGAAGCATATTGCATGGAACTTAGTGGAAAAAGCAAAATACTGATGTGCTTAATATGTGTTTTTGTTTTCTTCTGGAATTTCAAATGAAACTCAAATGTTTCGAACAAATACCATTAATTTACATTCATTACACTGAATGCGCACCTCAAAACGCAGGAGAAATTTGTTTGGTTGTCAAATCTAATTTGACATGAGATTTTGACATCCAGATGCTTTTTAATTAATCATGTGATGTTGTTTTTGACTTCCATATCCAGAGGGCCAGTCACTTTCGAATGTATGGGAATGGTACGAAACTATTTGGAAATGCATGAACATTTTCAGTTTTCATTCATTACCGTCTTTATGGGTAGTTTTATATGCACAAAAATTGCACGAGTACATTACTATGGTGATAAGGTAAACACTCGTTTATTTGTTTCCTTCTGTGAAAGCATGTTTAGTCGCAAATCGTGGATTTTCTGATGTTCTCCATATAGGCCTTTTTAATGCACCACCAACTTAGAGTGCGCCACGCGAGTTCGAGAAGAAACGTCAACCAAACCGTTTATTTACATCAGAATAAGTATTTTCCCCAACGCAAATTGCAGCATGTTTCATTCAAAATCTTGCCAATTTCCATCGGTAATTGTCTTATTGTACGATTTTCCACAAATCTGAACTTATTTGCACCTTAACTATTCACACACAAGAAATCCGGAAGATGTAACCCACTAAGGCACTTTTCTAATTTTCCATTTTTCTCAACCAAAATATTCCTGAACACCAGCAGGATCTTTACAAAAACGTTACGGAATTAAATTTTTCAACTGTAGATTAAGTTTTGAAGCATCTCAGATGAATCAATTTATCAGGAAAAGTAAAAAAGTGTTCCGCTTCCTATGTCTCAAGGCAAAAATGTCTACTCACAACACTCTTTTTGACGTTCTCCTATTCACTAGCAGAGGTTGAATCGATCGTTTAGTTTCTATTAAAAAGGCCTATTGCAAAAATGATTTTCCTACCACTGCAGGGGCGACATCTCTCGGATCTTCAGTATAGCTACTACTCAAATCATATAATTAATTGGGTCATGGCCTAACTAGCGAACACCCAACTAACGAGCACCCCAACTAAAAAGCCCCCAACGAGCGAATCTCCGCTATATTTAGCTTTTACTTACCACACCGCATTTTTTACATCTCACTTATCCTTTTCTCGCTTAATCACTAATCACTTCCCGACAACAGTTGAAAAGTCACTGACGAATTGGCAAATGAAAGTTACCTCCAGTGGAGAATAGAAGAACTATGAAAGTGATGATGATTTCAAAAATTTCCATGGGGAGTTATGTTCTATATGTACTTCCACGGTTATTATTTAATTGAGAGCTTTCGATGACTGTTCCTTTTATGCATTAGTATAATTGGTACTACAGTGATAGTACAACCATACTCTATTATGCCCGTGATGTCGAGAAATTTTCCAACCCGAAAAATTACTTAAACTTGGGATGTCATCGTCGAGGATGTGACGAATGGTTCCGTTTTCAGGCCACAACTGCTAATCACTTGCCAAATCATGGCCTTCTTCGCGAACTTGTCGGTAAACACAAACTTGAATCTTCCCGGCACATCCCCACGTCCAATCGCGATGTAAAACTTTTGACCGGGAAGCTTCTTAAAATCGAGTTTGACGTATGTTTCGTCATCTATCAAAGTGCAGTCCTTGTGTTTCGTCAAAACACGGTCGTACATGCCGCTACTTCATGTGCCGGTTCGGATGTTTACTGGCTTTGTACGACTTGTATCCTTCTCAGGCAAGGATGTTCCGCACCGTTTGAAAGTTGGCGTTGTACCTTCTGGGCACATCTCGGATCGAAAGACCGTGGTTGGCTTTAACGCACTTCAACACCTTGCTGCGCAGCTGACGATCCCTGGTTCTAGTTTTTTCATAGGTCTGCTGATTCCTTTCCACACTCAGGGTTTCCTTGTAGGTTCTGAGCAGTCGACAAACTGTTGTTTTCTGCATCTTCAGAACTTTAGCCAGTTTGGAACCGGACCACTGCGGATTTTCCAGGTGTTTGTGTACAATATTTTTTCTTCTTTCGAGTTCCATTTGACGTTATTTCTGAACTCAATCGACTACTTTGATTAAACTAGAACCAGTTGTTCTCTATAGAAGTGTAAACAAACCACTGTCGAAGATTTTCGATTCCCAGCACTAGAGGCGTGCTAGCGGTGCGCAAGGGGCGTACCAATTTACTTTTAGTCAGCCTTTAGCTCTTCAAAAGCCTGAGAATTCAGCGTCTGATCACAATTCTTTCCACAGTTCTATTGCGATCTATATGTTAACATGCCTAAGATAATTATTAGAAAAAATGATCCTATCAAGACTTGACAAACAATCTGCTTTCAAATACGCAATTTGGATTCCGAAAGAGTAAAGGAGCAAACTTGACAAGCGTTGCTTTCATCTGATATTCAACTGGCTTTTGCGCACAAGGCCCAATTGGCTTCAGTCTTAATGAATATTAAGGGCGAATTTGATTCAGGTTCCATAGAAATACTGTCAAATAATCTGCACATTAGTGGCAAGGTTGCAAAGAATCATTTCAGCTAAAATAATGTTTTTCGGAATAATAAAACCAAAAGATGGTATGATGGCATGTTTTACTTGTAACTTACAAGAAGAGGTTACAAAGTATGCGTTGGAAACATAAAACCTGTAAATTTTGCTTTGTATGAGTCACAATCAGCGATTTGCTGATCGCTGAGTGAGTGAGTGAGTGAGTGAGTGAGTTTGTAAAAAATCGCTGATTGTGACTCTCATGAAGTGAAATAAACAGGTTTAATATGTCAAACACATTCTTTGCAACCTCTTCTTGTATCCTACCAATTCAAAATTTGATCATGGCATGTAATTATTTCATAATTTAGAAAAACATTGTTTTAGCTGAAATGAGTCTTTGCAACCTTGATTAGTGGACTTACCCAGTACTTTAAAAAAATTCTTGTATAAGTTGCTGTCAGAAAAACAAATACCCTTCAAGCTAGGTCAACTGACAACTTCTAGAATTAGCTACATGGGCCTACCCCAAGGTTCATGTTTGAATCCCTTACTTTCTATGTTGAAGATATTGATAACTGCTTAGATAATCAATGCACGCTTAGACAGTTTGCAGACGATGCCATGGTTTCTCTCAGAGGTCCACGTGTGGAAATCTTGCAAATACCATTGCTAAATTTCCTGGACCAGAAATTTAAGGATCGAGTGGTTTCCGCAAAAAACAGAATAGGTAGTGTTTCCAAGGAAGCGGTTTCCAGCCCAACTGTGTCTAAATCTTTTGAGCAGACACGTAACCCAATCTTTGACCTTCAAATACCTTGGAGTCTGGTTTGATTAAAAATGCACTTTGAGTACGCTTTACTAATTACAGTTCCCCCATTGACTATGATCTCTCCATGAAACAGGCTATCCAAGGAATTCCCAGTTTTTTTTCTTTTCTGAAAATTACCAACAAGTCAATTGCAATAGAAGATTTTTAACTGATATATCACGCATTGATGGATCCACTGGCTTCGGTGTCTTCAATGAATGCTCAACCGCCTTCCGGAAACTTCAGGGACCTTGTTCCGTTTATGTTGCTGAGCTGGCAGCAATCAACTGTGCATTGGGGATGATTTCCGACATGCCCATAGACCATTACTTTATCTTCTCGGATAGTCTCAGTTCTATTGAGGCCTTCTGGTCGACGAAACCAGAAAGGCACTAATGTTACTTACAAAACTTGGCAACACTGTCCAACATCACTCTTTGTTTGTTGTCGTCGCAGATTTTAATTCGCCGTTTTTCGTTGTTTTTTTCGCGCTGTTTATTATCGGACGCGCTCGTTAGTGCAATATTTGGTCAAAGCATATCGGAATCTAGTGTTGTTTCATCATTTAGAATTACCTTTGTATGGGTCCCCTCACATTGCACAATTCCAGGCAATGAGAAGGCGGACTCTCTAGCAAAGGTGGGCGCTCAAGAAGGCGAGATTTATGATGATGATTTTTTTTTCATTAATACGCCAGAATTCTCGTCTATGTTGGCAAAACGATTGGACAAGTAATTCTCTTTGGCGGTGGTTACATTCCATTATTCCAAATGTTTCTTTGAGAGTATGGTTCAAAGGTCTGGATGTAAGCCGGGGCTTCATTTGCGTGATCTTCCCTACTTGTAGGCGATCTACGAATCCCTTTGTTTGTCTGTTGATTTAAATCATATTCTAAAACAAGCATCCAAACTTTCACAAACTTATCTCGATCGGTATAGAATTAGGGTTCTACTACTATCAGTGATTAATATTCAGTGTGAATTTTGGAAAATGTTGTAACTTTAAGGGAAGTTTTAGTATACAAGAATTGTAGAAAATATTAAAGCAGCTACCTACGAACTTTACCATTCAAATTACTTAAAATCGGTTGTAAAATGGCAGAGATATGAGCAACAAACATTTACATGATTCTAAAGAGTAACCCCATACTTATGATCGGGAGTGTACATGTAAAGAGTTGTCAGTGTGATTATCAAAGTGTTTGAGCTTGAGCTTGAGCTTGATTGACCGCCCACGGTTGCTACTCTGTTATTGCCAGATCAGCTGTAATTACACAGAGAACCAATAGACGATGCTTGGGACTAGCAATCATCCTCAATGTGTAAAAACTGGTGATCTTAAATTAGGCAATACCAGCGCCGGCCGCGCCCGAACACAGGTCAAGAAAGGAATGGGAAGGATTGTGTTGACATGACACTCGCTTTGATGGAAGCCGAGAACACCTCTGCACTTCCACGAGGAATCACTGGGATGTTGGATAAGAGGGTTGGGTTTGCAGCAGGGTTCGTTTTGGTAAACGATAAGCTGAATTAATGTCCTAACGATCATATAACGCGAAGGAGCTTGGGACTAAACCCACGGTCTTCTGCTCAGTAAGCAAAAACGTTTGCCACTAGGCAGACGAGCACCTTTTTAATCACCGAGTTGCTGTTATTACCATGTAGTCATATTAACAAATAAAACGATTGACGAATCTTGATTGTGGATGGGCCTGAGATTAGACTCATGATGTTCTGCTCAGTAAGCAAAAACGGTTGCTCTAAGGCCACCGAGCCCATCATATCACATAATACCGTTGCTCTAATTTTTGTATCCATTCAAACCCGGAACCAACGACAACAACGAGTTTCGCAAAATACACGATACACAAGCAATTTTACTATAAATCTCTTTGATATGTAAGGACCTGGGACCTCGTTTTTCTGCTCAGTAAGCAGGCCACTGTAACCGACGATCTTTCAAATCCGAAAACTAAAAACTACGAAAAAGTACTTAGGCCTTCATTAAGTTCCACTTTCACGCAACGTACAATGTTTCAATTTGCTCTTTACGTATTGTTCAGGCTAGGCCCTTTTCAAAATTTATGCAAGAAATACGCACAATCGTCACCTACCTCGCAAAACTGGTTCCAAACGACAACAAAGGCATAAGCAACGATGGATTGTTGAACTTTGCTGGCTCCGGTGGTGTAGTGCACAGCAAAAAAAATGTAATATCGATCAACGTAATTCAAGCTGATGTATGGAATAATTATGTAATTGTAATTTTGTAATTTATCAGCACACACCCTGGTCGACCACTGTAAACCAATCTGCCGTTCAGCGTTTTCGGTTTTTGTTTCTGGATCTTTAGTTGCCTCTGTGATATACTTTCTTGCGGCATACTATTTTGGGAGTGTATATGAGCGTGTACCATGTACGGTAGCTCATCTCTCATCGTGATGGTGGGACATAGTAGACAAATTAGAGAGAAAACAAGGAGGTATTAGTATTAGTTATATGTAAACAAACAAAACAAAAGTTAGATAATGCGGCACTGTAACTACTACTATTTTAGAGGTATGATTCGTCATGTTTAACTCAATGTTTCAATTGAGGCAAACTATCTATCTTACAATTACAAAAGCAAACCTAAAATTACAATTATATGCAAATGCAAAATGAAACTTGACAAATCATCGTCAATTCCCTTATTCCAGGGCAGGGCCTGACGATTTGAATCTAATTTTGATCAGTGAACGGGCACCATATGGTACATTTTCTCACCATGAACCTATCATTTCCAGCCTATCTGAACTATTTAATAAATGGAAGCCATAACATGGGTTACGCTCCCCCTAAGCGGGCCCTCCGCATCCTGTTTCTGTCTTATCTCAAATACAAAATGCCAATGGTATGAATGTATCTATATATAACTTGGAAATGACGTACAATCAAATAAACCCGTAACCCACTCACTTGGTCAGGCTTCAGAATCGTCCAGTGGGCAGTGCACTCTACACTCCAAGTTCCCTTTTTTCAAATTTACCGCAAATTTGATATTTTACCCCTTGAGTGTTCATTAGTCACAATGAAACATTGTGACAGAAGTTGAGGTTACTAGTGTATTAAATAATCTAGGTCCTATTTAGGATTATATCTGAAAAATCCAAATCTGGCCAACGCCCACCCTAAACCTAAACCTGTTCTACACAGCAAAAAAATAATTTTGATATCACGTCAAAGTGGATGCACTACAATCATGTCGAAAATATGGTGTAATATTACTTGCTAAAAAGGACAAAATTATCATTAATACAATGCATGAACTGACATTACGCTGCTTTTACTGCATTTGTTTATTTATGTGGTCATAAAAATTACATGAAATTTTCGACATGATTGTAGTGCATTTCACTTTGATGTGATATCAAAATTATTTTTTTGCTGTGTAATCCACCTGACTGAATGACTAACGAATGGAAGACTTTGACTACTCATTCCGTGCCTTATGGCAACTTGATGATTCTATTGCGCTCATCTTCTGGCACCACCCAGGGGAGACTTGGTCCTGTACCCAATGCTTAACTTATCTCCATTCCACTCAACTACTCGCAATTTCGTGTGATATAGTGGGCGGAATATTATTATATGAGACAATTCAATGCAGACGTCTTTCCAAATTTGGCAGATCGACAGGTAATCGGTGAGTTACCACGATAGTTTCTATTCAACAACTCGACAACGTCCTATCGTCAACGCCTGCTATGAGAATTTCCCATAGCAGACGCCAACGAAATGACGTCATCGAGCTATCGATCAACTACCCTGGTTATCGCCCCCCCCTGTGATTATCAAAGTGTTTGCAGGAATGAAACTCACAACGTTCAGCGTTTTTTTTTTTCCAACAGGACCTCTCTATTTTTTCCCAAAATAACCGTTTTTACAAATAAATCTTACATTAGAAATCTGGACAATCTCTAACTAGTTACACGGCAACGAAAAGAAAAAAAAACATTGGATGCAAAAGCAATTGCGATACACATCAACATGAAAGAAAATACACAACAAATAAATACAAAATGGTAAGGCATATCCATTCAGCAAGCGAACCATATCTATTCCAAAGCATATAATAAACGAGAGAAGAATTTAATCGATGGAGATTTAGAAAATTATGTACATCCAACGAGAAGAAGTCAAGTATTTTGTTATATTTAACAATCTCTCA